TCTGAAGCAGCTGACCTAGGGTTGTGTTTCCATCCTGTGGAACCAAATGTGATTTACCCTACTTTTTGGAGAGATGCTCTAAAAGGCCACAAACCAGACTTCTAAATTTTTCCAGGGGATGAGGCAGGTACTGAATTCACTGTACTGGTGAGCCTTTTCAGGAGTATGTGTACCTAGCTTTCAGTTCTTCCACTTCTTATTCATCCAGTCCAATTAACATGATGTCATTAATATGAGACAGATCATATCCTTCAGAATCACGATCCCTCCAGGTTATGTTATGACAGAGCAGGTGAGTTAATACAACCTGGGGAAGAACTGTGAAGGTGTGTTTCTGTCTGTGTCAAGTGCCTCTGCACTTGCAACACTGCTTTTGATCTTTCCTCTTAAATCACCTGTGGAGCAACCTTACAGTGACTCCCCACTCCTGATGAGGACAGTTCTGCTCTCTCTCATACAGTGGTGCTATACGCTACCTGAAATTTTGCAGCCTGTACATTCCATCTGTTTTCCTCTCTTAAATTACTACACATAAATATTCATTCTAAGTAAAATTCACACTCACATCACAAAGATGGCTTCAAGGCAGTCTCGTCTTCGTCCTTCATGCAGGTTCTCAAACCTAAACACCTGCTGTGATAAGGAGCTTCTAGAGGGGCTCTAAAGGCCTCAGCCAGTGACTAGCATGGCATGAGCCCTCAGTTCAACAGCCTTAGAAGAACTGAACTCTACTGACTGTAGAATGGGCCTCTGAGCCAAGCCTTTGTCAGATCTGGCTGCCCTGTACACAGATTTTAGTGTGCTGTTTGAAGTCAGTAAGGGTTAAGGTGGTTTGTTAGGTAGCAATAAATAATAATTACACGTGGTTTTTGGAAATATTTTGCACTTATTTCTTTCTGGAAAGGATGTGCCCAGTCAGGTTGACACACACAAAAAATGATTATTCTCAGTTCACCCTGTTTAACACACACACAAACGCATTCATAACCGAATAAAGAAGAAATGCTCATGATAGTCACAGTTGTTTCTGTAACAGCTCTTGTGACTATAGCTGGCATCTATAATTACCTTCGTCCCCTACTCACTTCAGGTTCCCTCTTAACCTCAGTAAGTACTTTAGCTGTCATAGTTCTTTCAAACCCTGAAGGATCTTGTCTATCAGTAGTACTCACTGAGTTGGGGTATTGTAGTTTTTGATTTTAATCACAATATATAGTGATATTAAAGATGCCCTAATGGTGGCGGTAAAGAGATGCCACAATACAGTGGCACCTGAACAAAGACAGCCTGACTCTTAGTATTAGTTAAAACAAAGGGTGAGCCCAATCTATTCTCAATCTCATTCCTTCTGAATTCTCTCCTAGAACTGTTTTCCCAAACAAAGGTCTTCCTCTGCATTTTCTTTTGAAACAGTACATCCAGCATGATTTGGGAAAGGAAAAGAAAAACCTTTCATTTCAGCAAAGAATTTTCCATTTTGACCCAGAACAGTGTATTTAACCACAAATCAATCTTATCAATCTAATCCCAACTGTTGTTTGCAACATAAACTGGGAATAATTTGTTTCCCATAATACTTGCTGCTTTCAGCACTGGTATTTTCACAGCATACACATACACACATTATTCTGGGGCAGGAGCAAAAAAAGGCCATGATGGATTAAATCTGTGTTTAGCTTACAAGAGGAGCCCAAATCCTAGTAAAACTGTATACATTGTAAACAAACTGAGATAGTGTTGAATTATCTCAAAACATAGTAATTCTAAAAGATTCCCAGTTTTAACAGAAGTCATCCCCTAAAAGTCAGCCTTCCAGTCCCCCTTTGTTTGTTTTATAAAAGAAGCATGTCCATTAGTGTGGTCACTGGTGGTGGGCTGGTTAGGATGAAGTGTGCTGGATGAGCAGCATGAATCACAGCAGGACAGCACCACGGGGAGAAGACAACATGATGGCTCTTACTGCAGTTGGGATTCAGAAAGTCCCTCTTCTTGTTGCTAGTCTGTTATTTTCTGGTGCTAGCTCATGGAACGGCTTTACCAGTTGCAATGGGATCCAGAGAGGATCTGTAGGAGAAATCACAGATGTGCAGCCTCTGCTCCAGTTAATGAGAGGGACAGGACCCAGATGGGATGTTGAAGGAGCTTACAAAAAACTATGGATTTGGGCAAAATTTTCTGTTTCTTATGATGCTTTTCCACAGGTGTTGGGTGGATTGAGAGGAACTACTGGCAGAAGGTGGGGCTATTGATTGTACCTCAAGGGAGAACTTTCTATTGAAAATGAGACGTAAGCATCTGATTATTGACAGTAGGCTCAGAAATAAGCAGATCTTCCTTCACCGTCAGGATGATGAAAAAGGATAGTTTAAAAAGCAAATTTTAAATCCAATAACAATATCATAGTAGATATGAGGGGTTACAGCAGGGGAAGGAACTGCAGGTATAGTTATTGAACAACCAGGTCAGTTACACCAGTCTGTTACTTTAAAGTACTGTGCAATATTTAGATAAATCTTGAGCAAAAACTAAATGCTCTTAAATAAACCCAGATAACATATATGTTTTTAATCTTTAAGCCAGTTCTTAGAAGTGTTAGCAAGATTAGATTAGTAACTACATAGGTTTAAATAGAGGTTGGATTAAACTTTGATTTTAGAATTTTTTAGATTATATATCATCTTTAAGTCTCATTTTTGTGCACCAAAAGTAACTAACTCAAACTTTCATAATTTCTAAACACCTTCTAGCTTTCCTTTCTCTTATGGAAATGTTGAGCCACCTTAATATTCATACATGAATCCTTCTTTTTTAAAATATTTCCATTCTTAAATCTAACATTTTCTCTTACTTGTTATCTTAGTATCAAAAGATATAACATTAAGAAATAAATTCACTATTTGTTCTGAGAACTTTCTCCCTAGGACTGCTAAGCAATATCTACCCCTATTTATAAGCCTCCAATGACAAACCAATATTTGATTCCACGAAAGTTTACTCTGGTGAATCAATGAGTTTATTGGCCTTATCTATGGAGAATCAGTGAGGGGTTCTATAAAGAATCATGGGCTGGGCATGGTGGCACATGCCTTTAATCCCAGCACTCTGGAGGCAGAGGCAAGTGAATTTATGAGATTGAAGCCAACTTGGTCTACATAGTGCACTCCAGGCCAGCTAGGGCTATATGGAGTCCCTTTCTCAAAAAATACAAAAAAGAAAAAAAAAATCATACATAAATTGTGCCAACTGAGTTAAAGCCAGAATTTCTTGGAGTAGCTAAGAATAAACTGTAGTATGAATTTGACAAATGTAATCTGAATTAATAACATCTAGGTAAACATTTTTTACTATAATCTGGTTTGATTTATCTAATATTAAGTCAAAATATCTTGTAAGGAATTCCCATGTCTGTTGGGACTTTTAAATTTTTCCTATTACATCTAACTTTGTGTTTTCAATTATAGATAAATATAATCTCATATTACTCTAGTAGTGATAAGCAAGACCTGCTGTTTTATTCTCTTAGGGTATGGCATGTGTGTGGTTGGCGCTATTCCTCTTGGAGCCCAGGGATCAGAAACTTTTGTGGGAGGTTCCCATTGGAAAGCATTGCTTATGGAAAATTAGAGCATCCATTAGCTGCATTTACTATAGACATTTTTATATTATAAGCAATTGTAGCCTCTGTTCAAAACATTTTACCACACAGCTATTTTTAAGGGCTCAGTGCCTTTACCCTTGAGCTGTTTCATTATTCTCTTCTGTGTCACAGTGTAAAGAGGGCAGTCTGACTCAGGAAAGAGTATTTGGAGGATAGTCTGAGAAAAACATGTCTGAGCCTAAAGGGAGAGTCAAATTCCGTTTCCACACCCAGCTTCCTGTTGAGCTCAAACATCATGTGACTATGTACCAATATAATTATATACAAAAGGCATTTGTTTCTCTGTAAAAACTGGCTTTCACTGGGCAGGAGGCTTGGATACATTGATAACTTCTGGACCCAAAGCACCTGTCCTCCTTACAACTTACACAGATTTGTTCAGATGATTGTAAATCTGCTGGGTCTTGCACTGGGAGCAGGACTCAATGAAAGTCAGAACACTTGATTTTGAAAGGTCACTCTCTGATAGCTGTAAATTTTTTAAGGATTAAGTGTGTGGAAGCTCCACTCATAATCAAAGAGGATCAAGCTGACAGAAGTATCTACCTTTAACAAAGATGCTGCAAAGGTGGATTAGTAAATAAAGTGCTGGCTGTATGAAGATTTGAGTTCAAATCTCCACCACCCACTTAAAAGCTAGGCACAGAGCTTTAACCCTGGTGGAGACAGGTGTATCTTGGGGGCTTGCTGGGAAGGCAGTCTAGCAGAAATGGCAAGTTCCAGGTTAAGTGAGAGACCGTATTATAAAGTGTAGAGAGGAACTTTGTTAAACTTATGTGGAAACATTTGTCATGTTTTATCAAACTGAGAATCTCAGTTCATGTTCTTCGTATGTGTCCTCATTTAAACCTTTGATTTCTTAAGTGTTCTGTAGTTTTTCTATGTAAGTACTGAAGATGTTTTGACAGAATCATATCTAAACATTTCACTCCCTGGGAAATAAACTGTAATTATAATTTTGGTTTCTACATGCTTATTAATGTATAGAATTACAGGTGAGATTTACTACACTGATCTTGTACATGGGCACCTGGATGAAACTTAATTTTTTGTTGCTGTTTGGTAACAAAATAAAATACACTACCCTATGCCTAAAAAAGTGTGGATTTAATAATGTTGACATGATGAATATGTAATGATGTTTTTTTAAAATGCAGAATTCAATGTTTGTGACTTGACAGAATTGCTTTCAACTTAGAACTGTGTCATTGTGGCTGTCACGTCCAAACAGTAGGGTGAAGTGAGGAAAGCAGTGGAGTCAGTCTCTGCTCCAAGGGCTCAGCCCTGCCGCTGGAATGTGTGACAGGGAGGATGAAAAATAATGAGAATTGTTGCATGCCAATAAATCTTTATTGATATACATTAAAATTTGAATTTCGTAAGATTGTACATGCTACAAACTATAATTCTTTTTTCATTTTAAACCATTTAATAAGGTATAAAAGCATGTTTAGTCTGTGGACCATATAAAAATAAGTGGCAGGCCAGATGTGGCTATGGGCCTTCATTTGACAGCCCCTGCTTTAATCTCAGGGGATCTACATGCTAAAAGGGGAAAGAAGAGAACAAACCACAGAATAAAAAAGTGAACAGCTCAACAAAACAGGTGATTTTATGTTAAATAATAAGGCGGTCAGAGAATATGTCTCTAAGGAAACCAATAAAGTGAACCCGAGAAATTAGAACCCAGATATGAGTAAAGTTAACGGCATAGTGTTCACAAAGGCATGCCGAGGGCAAGTGTGGAGGCAAGCATGAGTTCAGTGGCTTAGAAGATCCGACAGAGCACAGCAAGAATACAGAGAGGAGGTGGAATAAGGGGGCTGCTCAGGAATTCAAATAAGGACACTGCACCCCCCATAATGGTGAGACTACAGTTTGAATGAGCTGACCACGGCAGGGACAAACTGCTGCTAGGTCTGGCCCAACTTTAGATACAAGGCTGTGGCTCCTTGCTTATTTATATGATTGCACAAAGAGAGAGAGAGAGGAAAAAAATGTTTTAATTTTCTGCCAGATAGATCTTGAAAAACACAGTATCTCCTACATAATTCAGTATGTTGATGAGAATAGGTAACAACTGAGTCACACAGTTTATTTAACTAAGTGCTCATCCTTTAAGTTATGATGACTCACTTTATAGTATTTTAACAATACAAATTTGTTGTTCACTGGATCACATAAGTCCATTTATAACAGTTTTATGTAAAACACAGTTTTTTTATAAAACATAGAATACCATATCCTTTATTTACTCTTCTTTTAATAATCAGACCAGTTTGTATGTGCAAAGCTTGTTCTAGTTTCTTATGTACTAGAAGAAAAATCATTTTCAAGTTTGCATTGATTTGTGACAATATTTGTATTCAACAATCAAATGCTCAACTATTTCCTTTTAAATGGCCATGCACTTAATTAGTTTCACTTGTTCAGCAATTAATTAGTTTCAGAGACTTCTTATTTCGGTATTGAACCCAACTATTGATAGCTGGAGCAGATACTGTATCTGGATCACAATGCATGTTTTACAATCACATCAACATAAAGCTTTGAAAATAAGCTTCCGATTCTATCACCATCTAACATCTTTTATAATTGTGAAATATCCTTCAAGTAGTTTTTTGTTTTCATTTATTTTCTCCAGTACTGCTTCCAGTAAATATGAGGCAAAAGGGGGCTGTAAAAGAGGAAAAAAAGATTATCAAAACTCTACATTTTCTTCAGTTCAAAAATATATACTAGGGCTGACAAGATTACTCAGTGGGTAAAGGCACTTGCCACCAAGTCTGACAACCTGAGTTTGATACCCAGAACCCACGGTAGCATATGGTAGGAGAGAATTGACTCCTGAATTTGTCCTCTGACCACCACATGCACATCATGGTAGCTGCATACCTACACACACACAGACACACACACACGAAAGAGAGAGAGAGAGAAAGAGAGAGAGAGAATAAATGTAATAAAAATTGAAAAAATGGTTGATAAAAAACATACACTAAACATCATTAAACCATTAGAAGTTGGCCGGGTATGGTGGTGCATGCCTTTAATCCCAGCACTCTGGAGGCAGAGGCAAGTGGATCTCTGTGAGTTCAAGGCCAGCCTGGTCTACAAAGTGAGTTCTAGGACAGCTGGAGCTACAGGGAGACCCTTTCTCAAAAAGACAAAAAAAAAAAAAATTTAGCTAGGGGTAACTCTGCAGTCCTAATAGTACCCGAATTTGGCCGGGTATGGTGGTGCACGCCTTTAATCCCAGCACTCTGGAGGCAGAGGCAAGTGGATCTCTGTGAGTTCAAGGCCAGCCTGGTCTACAAAGTGAGTTCTAGGACAGCTGGAGCTACAGGGAGACCCTTTCTCAAAAAGACAAAAAAAAAAAAAATTTAGCTAGGGGTAACTCTGCAGTCCTAATAGTACCCGAATGGATGTCTTTTCAACTGATCTTCCTGGTTAGTGTGGGCAATTTTGGCTTTTCTAATAAAAATGATAAAAGAGCAGAAATAAAATGAAAAAAGATAAACGCCTTATTGAACAATTCATGGTTTACTGACCATGTTAATGATGTAATCTGCAATACAAGCAGCCAAGCCATTCATCTTCAATCAGCTGATCAATAGCAGGTTACAGTCATCTCTAGGGCACACAAGCCCACAGTAGTAGTACTATATGTTCATCACTCATAAAAGAACGAGCGAGAACTATCAATACACTTGTCTGTGTGAGAGCCCAACATCTCAAGTGTTGTAGAAGATTTCAGAGAGGAAAAAAATGGCAAAAGTATACCCATTGATTAAGTAGTTAAAGTTGGTCTGGTATATCAAAGTGTAATACACACATTTCAGAAACTGCTGAGTTTATGAAATGGGAGCACATTTTAAAATTTCATAATTGCAACAACTTTTCTGGTAGTTTTATTGTTCTCTCTGCTTCTCTGGTTTGCTGGTGGGATTTGGACACTTACAATATCGTTATATCATTATGGGTGGTAGGTAAGAGTCTGAATTGTTGCCTTATTTTCCATAGTTCTACCTAATTCCTTTTATTTACAAATTTCATTTTTGAGTAAAATGCTAAACTTACTCTTGTGAGTTGAGCAGTTTCCAACAGATGATATATTTAGACACTTTGCCTCTCTTTAAAAGAAGAGGTTTCTTGCGGGGGGCCTCCAATGAGGAGCACAAAGCCCACTGCCTGACCAGATGCTCACAGCTTCCTTTATTCTTTTCTTCTGGCTCCCCATCAAATTAGCCCCAACGTTAAACACAACTGTTGTCAAGCCCATTTTCTTAGACTGTAAGCTTCTGTAGGCTTTGTATAGCGCTAACACTCAGGATTTCAAACAGCCATCGGTTGCTAACCAAGCTGTGCGGGTGTGTGCGCCTAACCAAGCTGTGCGGGTGTGTGCGCCCTGCTGCCCTTGCAAGGTTCCTCACTTCTTGTCGACAACAGTTCAGAAGATTACTCAACCTTATGGAATTTTACAAGAAGTTTCTCATCTGTACTGTACAAGTCACTGTGAAATGCTTATTTACTTTTATTCAGTTTTCTATGTCCCCACCAGTGCTGTCACTGAGTTACACGTTTATCCTTTTGTTCTCCCTTTGTTTCTAAAGATATTTATTTATTATTTTTATGTGTATGAATGTATTGTCTGCATGTAAGCGTATCTGTGCTGCGCAATGCCAGAGGAGGTCAGAAGAGGGTATTGGATTCTCCCGAAGTGGACTTATGACAGTCATTAGCCACCATGTGGGTGCTGGGTCCTCTGCAAGAGCAGCTGGTGCTCTTACCCACTGAGCCGTCTCTCCAGCACCTGGTTTTTCCTTTGTAACAAACTAATTCCCACATTTTTTTTCTAAACTCAGCATTCATCCTGATTGCTGTTTATAAACTTGATATAGGTCAAAGAGATCTTCAAAAAATTTTTTTTTGCTTGATAATCTCATACATTGTGTGTATGTTTTGGTTGGATCCATCCCCCCGAAGTTCTCTCCTATCCCACCACCACTTTTCCCTCTCAACCTCACATATGCTGTTTTTAAACACACAGAGTCCACTTATCTGCCTGTATGTGCATGGGTGAAGGACCATCTGCTGGAGGACAGTCTCTCAGGAACCACATCCCTGAAAAAACCCAGACTGTCCCTCCTCCAGCCACCATCATTTCCAAAAGATCCTGAGCTAGGGGAAGGATTTTATGAGCCCCTCCCTCATCCATGCTAGGATTCTTGACTGGCTTGATCTTGTAGGTCATGCACATGTAGTCAAAGCTGCTGTGAGTTCACGTATGCCCAGCCCTGTCATGCATGTCCAACAAGAAAATTAATTTTTAAAAATATATACTGCAAATTGAGGAGATAGTTCAATGGGTAAGAGCATTTATTGCACAAGCATGAGGATCTGAGTTCAGAACCACAGCACCTAGGTAAAAGCTGGATGTGATGTGTGCACCTTTATAGGTAACCCCAGTGTTCTGGGGTGAAGACAGGAGGATTACTGAGGCTTAGGCAAGCCAGTTCAGCTGAAAAATGGCAAATTCTAGGTTCAGTGAGAAACCCTGTCTCAAGAGGATAAGGTGATAGAGCAGGACACCTAGTGTCCTCTTCTGACCTCCACAGTGTGTGCATGGCTGTGCTGTGCACATCCACATTTACACACATGCATACATCACACACAGAAATGAATAAACATATAATTGTCAATCCTAAGGAATTTAGAATAGAAAATCAGTGTAATTTTATAAGAAAATTAAAATAAAGATTAAGAAAAGTCAGAATTATAAAATCTCTCATAAGAGGGTTATAAAACATTTCACAAACATATAAATTGTTTTCAAATGAATTTATCTTAAAGTAACTCTCAACTAGAAATTTTTATAGATACCCTTCTGACCTGACAAATAGTTTCTGCCTTCTGAGTCTTACTATGCACCAAGAGCTTCAGCTTTAAAAATAGTATCTCTTAATAAGTTTATACTATTTTTTATATATTTAGCATAATTTTAATAAGTTGTATAGATAAGATTTTCTGCTTAATCTAGGATTAATTCATAAAAATTCTTGTGAGACTGGTTAAGAAAGAAATTCTAAGTTAATAGCTATTTTGGTTAATTAAGAGTCATTACTTATATCACATACAGATCACTATTAAATTTTAATACCACAAATTACTGTTAACCTAAGGTTAGCTAGACTATGACATAATCTTTAATGATGCATAAAAGCTCTTCAAAATATTTTTTATCTGTTTTCATTTTAAAGTATCTGTATGCACGTGTCTACATGACGGTATTTACATATGAGTGCACGTGTTGTTGGAGTCCAGAAAAGGGTGGCAATGATCTGCCTGATATGGGTGCTCAGAACAGAACTCAGTTTCCCCCCAAGAGCATTATGTGTTCTTAACCACTGAGTCATCTCTCCAGATCCTCTTGAAAATTTTAAAAGAGCTCCATGAACATTAAATCTCAGCATATATCTCTAGATTGGTTAGAGTTAGAACTGAAATAGTACTTAAAATATGGCAAGCCTTGGAAAATGCTTTAAAAATCCCTGTGGTTTGCTTAATAGTTTGAGGTCACATAGCATTCTGGGGTTGCAGGCTTGCACCATCGTGAGGTGAGCTTTACTTAAAAATGTGTAAAATATTTGTATAAAGACCTAGGAGACTAGCATCTTCTACTGTGGAGTCCATATTAAGTGCAAATTTTACAGTCAATGACACTATCTCTACATGTGTTCTGGAGGTAGCTAAGCCTCTCCTGGAAATGCCTCAGATACAAAAGCACAGCTGCCCTTTAGTAACAGGGTTTTAGGTTGGATTTAAGCGGCAACTTGACTGGCCAGTAGCAAAGAATTTTTTTTTCACACCCACTCCATCAAATAAGTCTGAAACAACAACCTAACAAACACACTGCCTTGGTTCTCTCCTTGGGTGGTATGTGCTAGATTAGAAAGTCCAGAGTGTCTGAGAGATTTTCTTCTGTTCCTATCAGCGTGGGGTTACACAGCTCCACATTCCTGGCACTAGGGAAAACGTGGATGGGGAACATATGATACTGAATGAGACTTCTTGGTAGGAAACCTAACAGGGATATCTGAACAACTAAAATTTTACTTGGTCTATTCGTTATCTTCTCGGGTTGTCCCTGTTGCAGAATGTGATTTCCATTTCTGGGGGGATTTCCCTGAAGTTTCAACACATAGTTCCAGCTTCTTTTACATATAAACACCTATCCCTATCGATGTTTGTTTTGTCTTTAGAAACTGGCACGACACTGTCCAAAACTTATCATTCGCACTTAGAAGTTGTGGTTGGTGTTTCTGTATTAAGGTGAGATATAAATGCAGACGTTTGAGTTAATCAGAAAAATATGAAAGCCTAACTTTCATGACTGCAAAACAGAGATAAAACAACAGCACTAGGGCTGGAGAGATGGCTCAGTGGTTAAGAGCACTGACTGCTCTTGCAGAGGACTCGGGTTCAATTCCCAGCACCCACATTGTGGCTACGAACCCTCCTTAACTCCAGTTCCAGGAGAATCCAAAGCCCTCATCTGATCTCCGTGGCACTGCACAACACGGGTGCACTCACATACATGCAGACAATATGTTCATACACATAAAAATAATAATTTTTAAAAAATCAGCACTGACTGGAATATCTCTTACTAACTTA